AGCGATGTACGGTAACAACATTGCCATGGTAGTTGGAATAATTATAAAGTAACAATCAACCTGTAATAATTATACTGAATAGAGAGAAGGCTAGGTGTAGATCTATCCTACCAGAAGATCAGGGGTGTGGCAGAAAGACTGCAGTAAGAGGGAGCCAATGAGTAGCAGTAGAAAGGCTGCAGAAAGAGTCAAGAGCCCAGAGGAGGGGGCAAAGGAGGTGAAGGGGTGGGGGCAGAAAGTGGAGACGAAAGCAGACAACAGAACATAGCTAGAGAGCAGGAAGGAGGTATATTGTCATTAGTAGACAGTGGATCAGACAGTAGTTGGTCTACTATAACTATAGTCAGTGGATCAGACAGTAGTTGGTCTATCACACTATAGTCAGTGGATCAGACAGTAGCTGGTCTATCACACTATAGTCAGTGGATCAGACAGTAGTTGGTCTACTATAACTATAGTCAGTGGATCAGACAGTAGTTGATCCATCACACTATAGTCAGTGGATCAGACAGTAGTTGGTCTATCACACTATAGTCAGTGCTCAGATAATATTTGGTCTATCACACTATAGTCAGTGATCAGATAATATTTGGTCTATCACACTATAGTCAGTGATCAGATAATATTTGGTCCACCACACTATTATAGTCAGTGGATCAGACCCAGAACTCACCGATAGCTTCACTGATGATCTTGTCCACCTCAAGGAACACCGAGTCTTTGTCGCTCTCCGCGTTCACCTGAAAACACAAACACACACACAATCTGGACTTTTCTTTTGAATACTTGTTAACACTGTAACATATCTCTGTAATATTTGTTACAGGAGCAGTAACTGTGTTTGGTTCACTATCGTTTATTGCCATAGTTATGTCTCCTTGTTGGAATTCATTAATTGTTTACTCTTCAGGTTGAACAAGAAATGTTCAGATACAGAAGTGTCATAAACATCCAACATGGTCAGTTGCTGAGTTCTTTGTACGGTTGTGCTGCTGAACTATCCATGTGTATCCAAACTAGATTGAGGCATCACAAATAACTCTTTAATACTTCTTAAATATATATCTTTAATATTTCTTTAACCTCTTCACTGCTGAGTAGACGTATGTTCTGGCTTGTATTCTCCACTTATATTGTTTTATCGGGTTGACAAAAAGAAGTTTTATTTGCTATAGTTACAGCTTGGGATTTTGCATATTCTGAAACTATTCTCTGTGTTTAAATATTCCTTGAATTAACACGTTATTTGTCAGTAGCCTACAGATGTTGGTGGACATTTTTATCAGCAGTGAAGGGGTTAATATTTTTCAAATACTTCTTTAATACCTCTTTAATAGTTCTAATGACACTGAGGGCCCTGTATGGCAGTGGAGGAAGACAAAGTCAACAGGAGGAGAGGGTAGAGAGGAAAAGACGAAGAATGAGCAAACCGCCAAAAAAGTTCACTACATTCATGATCCATAGCCAGAAAGTAACAGGCACTTCAATGCCTTTCCTGCCTGTCTTGTTATAGGAAGACTAATTAATTCTGTCATAATTCACATGTTGCCAGACTAATTACTTCTGTCATAATTCACATGTTGCCAGACTAATTAATTCTGTCATAATTCACATGTTGCCAGACTAATTAATTCTGTCATAATTCACATGTTGCCAGACTAATTACTTCTGTCATAATTCACATGTTGCCAGACTAATTAATTCTGTCATAAT